TCCCAAAAAATTATACGTGTTTTGGAAATGTTGAGTGGAATTAGTCTAGAATCGGTTAATTTTATAGAAGAAAACCTTTCGAACAGCCTTAGTCCGTAAAGTTCCCACCTATCGGGCTGCGATTGGCTCATGTATTTAATCGTTCCTACAACGTAATTTTCGGTTAGCGTGGAACGTATCTAAGCGTTATAGGGGGGGTCTACTGTAATAAGGAAATTAACGACATATATCTTTAATTAATGTGCTGATAACTAAGACGTGTGGAGCATTAAACAGATCTTAATGAAGAATGTTTCTTCATCAGTAATTATTTCATCAATAAGCTTATTTTCGAGCACTTCTCTTACTGATTCATTTTCTAATCTATAGTATCTGAAAGAGGTTGACTCCTCTCTGCCTCTGTCGACGGACCATATTCATAATATTCGGGCGCTTGCCAATATTGAGTAAATTCTGGCACTATCCCATACTCTGAGCTTCTTATAAGCTTTTCATAATCAGGTACTTCAGTTAAAATGTACCAAATGCGTTGTAAAATCTAGTCCGTATGTGGACATTTCTGTTACTGGACCATATACAACTTGTTGAAAGGGTGGTCCGTATTCTTATAAAATTCTTGCGGAGACCCATATTCGAGTATCTTCATCAACATTCCATATTCATCTACTTGTACAAAACGCCTAAATTTGTTCAATTCGTGCCCTTCGGCAGTTAGTCTATATTCAGGCCTTTGCCTCGCATACTGTAATATTAATTATGTTATAGATTAGTGTTTCTCAAAGTTTTTGTCTGTGATCCCCTTTTGCACTTAAAAATTTCAAAGGATCCCCTAAAAAATGGGTATATGTAGAAAAATATTACGAAGGGGGGATTAATTTAAATTCTGAAGGAGTTAAACCCAGGTTTAACTCCTTCTGAATTTAAATTAATCCCTTCTGAATTTAAATTAATACACAAGCATTATAATTAGTTAAAGTTTACTTTTCCCGGCTGTCATAATATTTCAATCGCTTCACATTTGACTTTTAGTGTTTTTGGAATCGTGGTATTTTCACATCCCGCACCGATAAAAGTCACAAAGCTAATTCTTAAATTATGTATGTGTGTGTGTCCACGTCTATTTTGTTTAATATCTCAAAATATGTAAACATTACAAACCGAAATTTGAACGGTAACGTGTATAATAAGGGACATCGAGGCTATTCAATTTTTGTGGTTGAATGTCGAAGGGGTGAAAAATAGAAGTGAGTCTTCAATCACGTCTGGTAGAGAGTCGGTCTTTAGGAAGATTTTACACGTTATTAGCACATACAATTTTTTATAAGACTCATTTGTATCCTCAAAATTAAACTTACTGTTGACTTTTTTGTGTGTGATGTACACAGAATGTGTATAAATGTATAATAAACGCTCGTGGAACTGTGATATCAAGAATTAAAATCGAATTCTTGTGTTATATAACTCGAAACTTGAATATAATTTCTTGTAGATAAAGTCGATGGGTTTATTATTACCAACATTCGGTGTATTTAATAGAAGTCGTAGTATTCGCCTGTATTCAAATCCACTCAAATAAAAAAAGAGAGAGACAATTTGTGAAAAGTGTGGAGGTTTTTCTATTATTAATAAAGCCTATTAATTTCTGTATTTTGTGTGCAGTGTTGTCTCTATTATATCATGCAGCTATGGCAAAACTGATTTTTGAGACTACCTTTTATATACAAAGATCTATTTGATCGTAGAAACTGGATTTAACTTGCAATCCACATTCTTTAAGATTTCATCCTTTCCAGTTCATACGAATTGTGTTTATATTGTGTTTATCACTAGTTTATGTTGGTGTATGTAAAACACGAGTCGTAAAGCACTTTATAATGGCTTAATCACTCCTCTGTAGAGATATTTAGTATTTTGTGTAATACTAAACTACTAATGTACTAATTATCAATATCAATATTACTAAATAAGCCTACCATTGTATNATCAGGCCTCTGACCCGAGTGTTCTTTATCTAGTCTTGATTTTCATCTCTGTTCTCAAGATTAAAGGACAGATGGGTGACAGTGGGAATCTCTAGGTTTAGAATTTGAAAATTACAGCCCACAGAAGTGGTTGGGACCTTATTACAGCTATAGACCAAACCACAGGAGTTACTAATGTACTAATTATCAATATCAATATTACTAAATAAGCCTACCATTTTATAAATTAAACAAATGTTTTGATGTTAATTAAACAGAGTTTAGTCGTGGGAAATTAATCTCCAATTTGTTGGGATTGAGATTTCTTTCTGTAAAAACAACTGCAATTTTAGTTTCTTCGACAAACTAAACAAGTCGTCATTTGTACTATAAACATTTGATTTATAGTGAATTATAGCAATAAAGGCAGTCACTGTTATAGACCATTAGAGACTTTTTTCATAATATCTAATTCAACGCAATTATATCGTTCAGATTCTTGTTTTCTTCTGTTGATTCAGCCGTTTTTATCTGCTAGAGAAGTTTTTGGATTGAATTTCTGTAAAGGATGCAAATGTCGAAAGCCGAAAGATCGGCCATTTTCTACGCTGTTCACAGTTTATTTGCGAATTATCGAGTGTCTGTTGTGGTTTGTAATATTATTACTTATACCGTTGATAATTACTAAAAGTGTTATTTGCTCGGAAGCATTGTTCAAATCTAAAATACTTCTATCTTCTACTTTCTTGACCTCATCCCTTGCTATGTGGCTCCTCCACTTAGGCCATAGACGTGTGGAAAAAGACCCTATAGTTGCTCATAGCTCAGAATAAGTAAAATAATAATAATATTTCTTAAGTTTTCCATTACAATTAATTATGAATAAATTCTTTTTTCTGTATAATTAAGTATTTGTATATTTTACAGGTAATAAGTGGTTTCTATTCAGTTTTTTTCAACTCTAATTCAGCTTACCGGTGTACTATGCCAGAAGAGCCGCTTTTCTAGAATTACAAGCGTTAATAAAAACATGGCAATTAATATCGAAACTACTTCTTATCATGTATAAATATGTTCTTAAGGCCGGATGGCCGAGCAGTCAAAGTGGCAACCTACCGCTCTGGGGGACCCGGGCTCGAATCCGGACGGGTGAAGGAATCCCAAATATTTTTCGGACCCCGTCTCTCACCACCCGGTCGCCCCATTATGGGCATGGCCGAACCCATAATGGGCCTGCTATAAAAGGCCCTCTTAGTGCCCACAGGGCGGAAAAAGTACAAAAAAATGTTCTTAATATGTGAACTTCTCAATATCATAATTAAGTACCATCTTTATTATAGAAAATAGTTTTAAAAAATTTAATTAATAATATATATTTAATTAACCGTTTATTTAATAACAGAGTTTTCCATAATTTTCTGTTAAACAAGTCACGATATCTGGTAATTTTTTTGAATAATTAGACATCGAATTATAGTTTCTAAAGAATATGTAAGACTCTTAGGCATACGCATACGTGTATATAAAATTAAAATCGTACAAAATTCGTACAGATCGCATTAATATAGTTTTTCTCGTAAGATCTGACTAAATTTTTAAAAAATTTGGTGCGGATTTTGGGCGATATTTCGATTGTAACTTCAGGTTGAATTTATCTGGCAACCTGCCACAAGCACGTGTGGAGATAGTAATGGCGGACGATACGGACGAATCGGCAGGTAACGTGGAAGAACAAAAGCCGCAGAAAAAGGCGGCTAAACACGACAGCGGAGCAGCAGATTTAGAGAAAGTAACAGATTATGCGGAGGAAAAAGAAATAAGTTCTCAGGACATCGCTGGAGTAAGTATGGAGTCGTTTATGTTGTTAGTCACGTGGGAAGTATTGAACTGGCAACGTGCTTTGGTTTGGTCACGTGTGTTCTTTACAAATGTACCTCAGAATGGTTAATTACATATTGTGTCGTCACAATGATGCAAATTTACCCAAATTTTTAATTAAAAATCACGTGATTTTTAGGGTTCAATTCAAGCTGTGAATGAGACGGTTGGGACTTTACCCATAAGTGCAAAAAAGTCAAAGGAACCATACCTCTGCAAGCAACCCTTTGCAAGATACAGTCCCAGAAATTGGCTTATTTTCAGGTCTCATGCAACTATAACAACTTTGAGTAGTCCACTTGACTGTTTGTGGAGTACTTGATGTAGTTTTAGGGAGTGTGTGGGCACTGAGGTGAGAGTACCAAAGTCCACAATTATGTGCAGAGGAATTGCAAGCCTTGTCTCATGCAGTGCATGGAGAAAAGACTTATAGTGGTTTGCAGTAAAAACTGACACTTGGAGGTGAATATCTCATGCAGGGTTACATGTACAAGTATGGTTTCATTGAGTTTTTTGCTCATACAAGAGGATCTATAATCCTGGGGATTATTAATCCCTCGTTCAGTGTTCACATCTCACTGATTTTGTGCCCATACTGGTAGTTTGTATATAGTTAATCAGGCCTCTGACCCGAGTGTTCTTTATCTAGTCTTGATTTTCATCTCTGTTCTCAAGATTAAAGGAGAGATGGGTGACAGTGGGAATCTCTAGGTTTAGAATTTGAAAATTACAGCCCACAGAAGTGGTTGGGACCTTATTACAGCTATAGACCGAACCACAGGAGTCAAAGATACTGATATCTATATGTGACTCTTTGCTAAATGTAATGGTATAGTATGTATTTGTTATATATATATATCTCATGCAAAGGGTCACATATATGTCATCAGTTTTATTGATTTTAATGTCCCAACTGCCTCATTTCAGAGATGCATTTCTACCTTAATGCATATGCTGCATGCTATACATGCTATAATACTCTATGTAATTATTGACTCTATTACAGCTACATTTGTATTAAATTGAATAGATTTATTTTTGGATTGTAAATATATATTTTTAATAAAATGATATCTTTTACATGTAATTAAAATCTACAGAAGGTGTATAGCACTGCTCTCTCTCTTAATTATTTTTTAAAAAGAGACATATTTGATAGACATTTGTAAAACATATAGAATTTTTTGTCACCAATCCATATAAAAAAAAAATCATAGGACTACTTATAAACTCTGCACTGTTTTGGCCTCCATTGCATAAGCTTGTTTTTGTTGTGGACTATTACATTGGGCAGCAGATGCATACAAAACATGCCATGTGACCCTGCTTTGATGTGTGACTACCTCAAAATGAAACATCATTCATGTGACTGACATCTTTGATGTATTTCCTGAGAACTTTTTGGACTCTGAAGAGGTCATGGGCCACAGTTTTGATAAACATTGCATTTATTACATTTCTCATGCTATACCTTCTTAATAAGTGAATTTCTCTGTGATGCTATTTGATGCTTTCATATCATGAAACTACCAAAATTAATTGTATATTATTTCATGATTTTCAGACTACAGACACTAACAAACAATTCATTAAAAAAATTAAAGTTTGGATGCTAACTTGTTGCTGATACCCTTTGCCCTTGACTGATTGAATTTCACATCTGTGTGCGCTAACAGAATGCTAGTCAGACTGGTCTGCAGAGCATTGTTGTTTAGGATTGTTGATTTTCTGTTAGACATAATATGAAATTTATGGCAAGATTTTACCTTGCCAGTAATGTAATGATGCCTTTCATCATTGACATTATTGGAATTGTAAACCATCTCTATATAAAAAAAAAAAAATCATCAAAATAAGAATGAAAGCCAAATGTGCAGCTTTCCAAAGTTTGCTTTCCTCAATAAATGATTTATAAAATTTGGTGAAAATTTAAAATGCGACATCCTCGGCTGATAAAACCTCACATTTTTTAACAAGCAGATTTTAATGTGTAGCCACTTGCTCATTCTTACATCAGTGCCGTTCCATTGGTATTTATGAGTTCTCCACTAGAACCATCTCCACAAGTTGATGAGCAGTTACACATTCGAATTTGTTTGCTCCAAAATGTGTGGCTTTATTTTTGAACATCACCCTGAGGATGTTCATTCAAGATGGAAGAAAATGTTTGTTATTTAAATTTGTATATTTCCTTTTTATAAGAAGAAATTAAACACACATGTTTGCTAATATGTTATTTGCTAACATACTGTATAACTATATTTAATTTAACATACTTGTTCCCGAATCCATAGTTATTTCTAATTTCTTTGTCATATAGATAGGCTTACAATCATGGGCTAAGCAGGGAGAAAATACTGATTGAATTTATTGCTGACAAGTCATTTTATAGATCATGCTCTATCCACAGTGGCCAAACTGAGGCTTGCAAGCCACTTGCAGCTCTACTACACCCTTATTGCACATCCGTATACAATATTTTTTTAATAAACTTGACAAATACAAACAAATTTAGTATTTTTGTAACTTTTCTATTGCATAGTGTATTATACACAGCAATTATAAGTGTAACTCACAACTAGGGTTTCTCCAACAGTATTCCAGCTGTTTTTTAACTGGGAAATTCTCAACTGGGAAATCCCACAAATTTCATTTTTTTCTTATTTTGTGTTAAATTTTAGGAAATTTTGCAAATAGAAAGTATAATTAAACCATAAACTGTCAGAATACATTTGTATTTATTAATTTTAAGCCTGCTTATTACTAGTTTTTAAAATTTTTGCTTATTATGGCACGTCACAAAAGAAACACTGTAAAGCATCTCGAAAACAAACTAAAAATCTTCCAGGCTAATGGTGAAAAAACGCATAACATCCGTCTTCTCTTAAACGATTCTACCCTCATCAATTGAATCGAAAAGCGCATTCTCATTAGTAGGACTTCTCTTTAGTAAAATAAGAATCAAATTGAGTGATTAGAGTATTGGCCATCTTTGCTTTTTAAAATCTTATTATAAAATTTACAATAATATTTTGTATTATGTTTTATTTAAATAACGAAAATTACCTTCTAACTTAGAAGTTTGATCTAATTCTATTTTTTTCTTTAAGTTTTCAACTCAATTCAAAGGCATTTCTGTTGTAAGCAGTTTCTAACAAACTTTAATAAACTTTTTCTATTTGTGAAAATTTCTATGTAAGTCAAAAGTAATTTTTTATACATATTTTGCACAGCATTATTAATATTGTTTTGGAGATTGCAGGACATATTAAGTTACTTAAAAATGAAAAATAGTTATTTTATATCTTAAAAATAATTAATTATATCCCGGGAAACAGTTCACTTTTTTCCCGGAATCCCGGGACAAGCAAAACATTGGGAAATGAGAAACCCTACTCACAACATAACTTCAAATGGTCAACCGAAATCTTAGGGTAAAAAATTGAAGAAAGTTCTTAAGTAGACAATAGATACAGTGTCTTTTCACTTAATTCTTTCACACACACGTAAGGAAAATAACAATTCTAAGGTGGAGAGTTGTTATTTACTCATGTGCGTGTAAAAGGACTAAGTGAAAAGACACATTTGTATGTATTGTCTACTTAAGAATTTTCTTAAATTTTTGTAAATTTAAAATTTTGCCCTGATAATTTTTTATGAAATCTTGGGTACATTTATAAAGTCGAAAGATTTAATGATTGTTTTATCAAGTCAGTCATCAAGTACCAGTGATATTTACTATAGAATAGTTATAACCAGGGGTGCACAACCTGCGGCCCGCGGGCCACATACGGCCCCCTATCAATGTTTATGCGGCCCGCGGACGGTACAGGCCAAATCCCTTTCGAAGTTTCTAAGTGTAGAACTTTTTCCCTTTCACAAAGTCATTAGCACCCAACTGTTTTATGACTTTCCCTGAGGTGAGAAATGGAGGATTGTTCTATAAATAAGTCTATTTTTAGCTAACACTTTCTGCTTTAGATATCCAATATTTTAAAATGATGTTAGAACGTCATTTCCGATGTTATGGGGAAGTTTCTATTTTGGCGGGAAATCTTCAATTTTATGCTTCGGAAAACTTGCCTATTTGTCTAAATAGCGTCAAATAACAAAAATAAGTGAAAATAGCGCTGAAAAACCATGAAAATAACGATTTTTTAGCATTTGTTTACATTTTAGATTCTGATTGGTATAGTCGAATTTGAATCAATCTTTTCTGAAAAGACGNACACGGAACAGGTTAACCAACGAGAATTTGGAAAATCTGCTGGTTGTTTCAACATTTGCCATTACGCTAGACATCAAGAAGATTGCCGCCAGCATCCAATCTCAGCCATCGCATTAATCACTTGGAGGTCCAGCCCCCAGTCAGTAAACTTAATCCTAATTTGGCCCTTCTTCAGAAAAGGTTGTGCATCCCTGTTATAACTATATTATATATAGTTAAAATACTATAAATAGATGATGTGAATCTTGCATATTTCAGAGAAGCAGTGTATAGCTCTTACAATGATAAGGTCTAACCATCCCTGCACTTTATGTTACCTGAATCAGATAATGAATGTAGTGTTTACTACTTCTTGGAAGTGAAGTGTATATGAATTGAAACTAACTATTCTAATTTGTTCACGTATTTATACTTTCATATTTCCTATAATTGGATAGAAATTAACTGACCGATTTATTTAACTCAAATATTGTTGCGCACATACATAGCTAATATCCTTTACTTCTTGATTAGTCCATGCTACTGCATTTAGGATCATTCTAATCCATATTCACGAAATGCACTGTAACTGTTTTGTCATGTTTGGAAGTTTTATAGAGATGTGGAAAGACCAGAGTCGTATACAATGGAAATGGATGTAACTCAGGTTTTAGGCATGTGATATTTACTTTTGTTGTGTTTCAAGAAAGTATTATAAGAATATCCATAATCATTAAATATGCTAACATGTCATTGTAACTAATCTCATATGAAATTATTAATATAGCAAGTTTATGTTTAATTTTCTCGTGCCAAGTAATACATCTTAATGTAAAAATGCTTCAGTTTCACTAATGTCACTATGATGGAAATTTCAATTTAATGTAGTAATAGGGTAAAAAGGATATATTGGGCAAACCAGATCATGCATTAATTTGTAATAATGACATTAGAATTCAAATTTTCCCCCATTTTCTTTTTCCCAAATAAAGTCGATAGAGGAGTAAACATTCGTTACAAAGTATTTGAGGACAAGGAAATCCTCCTCCATATCTTGCCACATTAAGAGAATGTTGTCTATGTATCTCAGCTATATCAGTGGGTATGCTATCGTGAGGGGAAAGCTGAAAACCCTTTGCTCAACATGCCTCGTGAGCAATTCCGCTAGTATGGAAGACAGTGGTGAGCCCATTGGATCCTCCTGTTTTTGCAGGCATATTTTCCCATTGAACCGAAAGTAATTATGTTCGGTAACAAGGAACTATTATGTTTGGTACCGAACATAATTGGTACCAAGGAACTATAATTGTTCGGTAACTAAGACTTTTCTGCACTGAAAAGCACTCCTTGATGAGTAGAGTATTGTCAAGCATAACAGCCTCAAACTGAGGTATGGAGGGGTAGAGAGCAACAACATCCATTTTGTAGAAACTGTACCTATTAGGGGCAATTTATCTAGCACAGCAGATAAAAATGCTTTTGTCACAATGGAGGAAAATGTTACAAGGGGGGAAGGTGGGCACCTTCCCTCCTTGTAACTTAGGAGCTTGGCAAGTGCCTTTTCAGGATGGTAGGTTTACGTTTTTATTCTAAATTTGGTTTGTCCAAAAGGACTAATGCTGTTAGTTTTAATTTGAAATGTTTGTTTGAAAGACATTAGAAATTAACATTGTGCATTCCGATTGCGTGCTGCAGGACACACAGAACAGAACATGCTGGATAATTATTGAGAACATAGAGCTTTTGTAAAGCTGCTTTGCCCTCAGTAAGAATCCACTTTACCCATGCATTACTTGAAAATTAGACTTCATTCAGTATAAACAATGACTGTTCTGGAGAGGATGTGTGATTCTTTGTGCATCAACTGTTTCTTCAATAGTGTTGACAATAAACTTTCAGTTAGATAGTTGAGTGGTGAAGGCAGTAATAGCATCATCCTACCAGTCTAATGGTGGATATTACATTATTTGGACTAAATGTTGACAGCTAAGTTGCCATTTTGTGTTAAATTTAATAATTAGAAATAGATTAATTTAGAATATAGCCCAATATCTATCCTTTGTCTGAATTACATATCTTTAAATTATAAGTTTAATTAATTATATTTAACTATGTTTAACAAGAAATTTAGAAAGTTCTTTTGTTTTGCATGTGGTAAATTGATAAACTCTTAGAAACTGCATACAGTAAATAATTTTAGTATCTGAAGCATGTAAATTCAGTTATTGTTAACCTATTTTCCATGAGATATTTTTTGGAATTTTGTACTTTTAAAATGTTTAATCTGGATATAAAGTGTAGTAATTATTGAAAAATTTTTCCAGGCGATGTCCCTGATAGGTGACAAACATTCAAAGGAAACTGCGGAAAAGGCGGCGAGACAAAAGGAATTGGCTAAAGTGATGATAAAAAAGGAAGACTTGGAATTAATTGTAATTCTGTTTGCTTCCTGCTTCTTATATTTGTTTATATTTTCTTGGAACTTTTTAAAATTTATAAGCATTAAAATTTCAAAATTACTTAAATTATTAAGAATTTAAATATTATATCTTGCAATTTACATGCTAAAGTACTAATTTTGTTTTTTGTCAGATGAGAGAAATGGAAATACCTCGTTCTGTAGCGGAGTTAAAGCTAAGGGAACATCACGGAAATGTCGTGGAGGCTCTTATCGAGCTAACCAATTGAAAATGTTGTCTTTTTTAATTTGTTATTTATCAAATAAAAGAGTTGTGTTTCTTTTCTCTTACTTTTTGTTATATAAATTGTTTTAAAAGTTGCAAAACTTGCTATTTTGTTCACTTTAATGTTTTACAAATTCACTTCAATTAGCTTCAGTTCTGCTTATAATACAATGATATGAAACATATAAAATAAAATAATGGTTATAACTTCTGAAATTATACAAAAATCGCTAAGAAACGAAGCTTAAAACCTCCCATAAATAGTTTTTTTAGCATATTTCTGATAAATTTTACTATTTAAATTGCTGTAAATAATAAAGCATTACATTACATTCTTCATTATTTCGAGAAAACAATTTAATAACATCTTTGATACATTTAAATTATTATTTAAACATACAAAATTTAAAAATCACCTGAAAAATCTTGTAACAATCCATACCTTACCTTTAAAATATTCTGAAATATAAGGTGAAGTGAATTTAATACATTACAAAACAAGAAAATAAACATTTTTTTACTTAATATACCTTGTGAGAGGAACTTCGTGTGCTCATTGTCGTACATCAGATTACAATGGGGACAGTTGAGTGATGAGGAATGGAACCCCCAACAATATCTGGGATAGATAGACCACTCGTGAATAATTAGAGATTTCTGACCCTTGGTACCCTAAAACAATAGGCTGGCATCCTGTCTATTTGGATGGCTAGGACATAATTAAAGATAGCTTTCAACTGTGGAGATTGTGTTCAAGTCTAGGTTTAAATGTCAAATTTTTTGAGTGGTTTGATCATCATTTGTAGCTTTTGTGGATTCAGTTGGGCCCATTGTTTTGGGTCTGGCTGAATAATGGAAAGTTCCTTTTAATTAGTCTTTATGAAAGAGCTTCATTTAAATTTTTTGTTGTTCATTTTGATAATGAATCTTAATCTTGTAAATGCCATTTTAATTTTAATTAGTTTGTAAATTAACTTTTTATGCTCTTAATTTAAATTTCTCATTAACCAGCCATTCAATTTTTAATGACTCGAGCTAATTTTTGGGTTGAGAATATTAATTAAAAATCCTTTTCTGATACATTAAAGAATATTTGTGCCAGTATAAATTCAATTAACAGTTATATTTATTATGATTTGCTCATCTTTTATTTTATCAGAATGAAATATTTCTAAGTTCACAATGTTTTGAATCATTGGATCAGAGAATCCTTTTATACAGTATAAATATTATATTTATCCAAAGATTTGTGAGTTACGTTTCAGTTTACTTAGTATCCGAATTATTTTCCTCCTGTGACGACTCGTCAATTTAAATTTCCAATTTATTATATATTTGATTCAGGCCATCGGAGTGCTTGTATAAAGTCTCGGCTACGGGTACAAGACTATACTAAAGGTAGAACGGTCCCCCTTTGCCATCTTTTGTTTGAACAAAAATGCTTAGGATTTTCTTAAGTAAAAATGACATTAATTTATAAGGTTAGGAACCGTCGCAGGGCCCTAAATTTACTCTGGGCCAAGGAGAAATATCTAGAGAGTATCAGAATCTATGCACCAAATTTTGACCGACATATAGATTTAATTGCAATATATGCAGGGCTGTGGAGTCGTGTAAAAATCTACCGACTCCGACTTTTCCTTACCAATCCGACTCCGGCTAAAACACCAAAACTCCACGACTCCGACTCCACAGCCCTGAATATATGCCAAGTCATTTGGATGAATGTGACAACGAGCCGTCCAAGACGACACGAGTCTACTCTCTGGAGGAATTGGGTTCGAGTCCACATTCACTCAAATTTTCTTTGTTAGACAATGCAGATATGTTTGGCCATCCCTCAACACATGGCTGACCCATTGTGAGCTTGGCACACCTATGATAGGGATGGAAGAACATCTCTAGTGAACCTGAGGGGGGAAGTTAAAAAAAAAATTTTTTAAATGTGTAGGTACAGAAGTTTTATCAATAAAATTTCAGACAGTAATAATAATAACGCAACAGGCTCAAAATAATTTCTACAATAATAATAATAAATTTTTTTTTTAAATGCAGAAGATGGCGCTCATCTCGTCACTTCTTTCCGATTTTAGGCGCAACCGGCATCGACATCAAAAACACTAAAAAAAAAAAAAAAAAGACTTATTTAATTATTCGAAATTTATAAATAAATAATTACAATTATACTTTCGAGAAATTAAAAATAAGTAAAAATTTACATCGATGAGTCAACGTCACGTCTAACGCCACGGTATATATACCCGTGTGTGACGTCAGCTCCATTACAGTATCGTGATTCACGGCAATGGCGACGTTTATCTCCATCCCGTTCAAGAAGACTAATGAAGTCGATTTAGTCAAACCGCTTAAAAACTTAATATCTACTTACTGCAGCACGGCCGACGAACCCGTAGACTGTACGGATGCATTGAACGAGTTAGAAAAACTTCGTATGAATTCGACATGGAGGACACTAGACAAACACGAAGGGTCGTTAGATACGATGTGTCGGTAAGTTTCCTCCCGTTTTAATTAACTCATACGAACGAAACCATCCCCGAATCGTTCGGCGCGCGTGGCTTTCAGAGGGAAAAATGCGGCGTGGATGTGAAATCGACACATTTCGGCCCGGTCACGTGACCGGGGAGGACGTTTCCAGTGTTCATGTTTACCAACGTCGACCGAATGATTTTGGTTAATTAATAACAAAGTTTTTTGTCGTCGTAAGCGTCGAAGTGACGAAATTCGATTGTTTCGTTCGGCCGTTTGCCAGTCATGTAGCGGGGGAAATGGTGGGTAAATATCCTTATCTTGATTATCTTTGCATTTGAAATTAACTTTTGAAGCTTGTTGGAGATTAGATTTGATGTAAAGTCTTTATTTTTCTTTAATGTTTGGTACCTTAAAGGGTGCTGCGTATGTGTGTCCTGTTTGGTTGGGTTTACGTGACTTAAAACTAAAACGACACTTGATTATGTAATTTGGAACTGTTTGTGCGGAGAGTGTCGTCTGACATAACCCTTGGTTCACAGAATGAAACGCTTTAAGGATGATGTTACTCGCAGTTTCCCTTTGTATTGTTTTGTATATAACATGAGGCTAAACACCATATTGTAAACACATAGACAAATACTATGTCACCAGTGAGTTTGTTAAGCAGTCAGACGTCACATTCTGTAGAGAGAAAAAAAAATGCTTTCATAATTGTGTGATAACGTTTTACCGTATATGTACCTTTCGTTAATCTGATGGCTATTACATAATCCACAGCAAGAGTGAACTGATTATTTTTAATTTGTTTTGTGGAAGCTTTCACGTTGGTTACCTGAACTCTCACCGGTCTTTTGGGCTGTTAAGATTGTTGAGCTCAATGGTGAATCAAAGCTGACACCACACCACCTCTCGGTAGAGTAGTCTATGGTCCATTTAGAAATTAATTTTCTTCATCATTGAGTCGACCGTTAAATATAGAAACATACTGTGTCTTCTGGTTTTGTTGACTTAATGCATAAGTTATGTTTTGATTGCTAACGGCTGTTGATTCCTTTTGACCAAAGAGCTAGCAGAAAATGGATTTTTTTTATTGTTGATTTTAACTTAGTCAAACAACAAATGTTTGGTTTTATTATGACTGCAAAAACACATCTGCAGTCTGTTTTCTAATTGCTGAAGTGTGCTACGAACAATTTAATTTTATCAGCCAAAGTACTAAATGACTCATTGAATTCTTTCTGTTAACATTATGAGACACAAAAACAAGACATTGTGAAAATACTGAAACAAAACACTGTCTCTATATTAGCTGGTTGTGCAAATGATACTAATAAACAAAGAAAAAGAGACAATTATTTACTTTAGTGATCTTTTTACTCCTACGTAATATAGCATTATGAAATCTTCCTTTAAGGAAGTTGCATATATAAACAATAGAGAATATACATCTTATAGATTCCTTTATTTATACACATTCCATAGTGTAGGTACAATTATACAGGGTGTCCCAAAAGTCTCCATACAGTGGCCGAATAAATAAAACCATTTAACACTGGTAGATAACACTGACCAAATATTAAAGCTGACATTTTAATGTTTTGTGAATAAAGTTACATTTCACCTTTATATGTATGGAAATTTTTGGGGTACCCTGTAGTTGATAATTTTAATGGAAAACAAGTTGTTTTTTGTGAAACATTTATATTATCAACAGAAGAAAACAACTTATCATTTTTACTGTGGAATGCTAAAAACATGAGAAGGATGATATGAAAAGAATAGAGAAAAGCTGGCAGGACATTTTGAAGACTGCTATGGAATATTCAAAGAAAATGGAGGGAACCAACTAGCTTAACTTGATGATATGTTGCCCCTTGAGGTAGAGAATGATAACCTATTTTCAGTAGAAACCATAATTTAAATTAAAAAATTTAATGTGTCAAGATTATACAAATCTGAAATTGCATATTTTGAAAGGAATTTTATTTGACTTGGCTACAAATTTTATATAATTTTATTTCAAATTTAAATACATTTTAAAAGTTTACTTTTCAATTTTTGTTTTCTGATTGGAAAATACTTTCATTTTTATTATTCGTAGCATGTGTTAACTTCTGTCCTCTGATAATATGGAATAAATGTTTCAGGATGAACCCAATAATGGTATGAAAGCTTCACTTAGGCCTATTANAAGGAACACTTTCTTCATACATTCATACAGATACAGACTTTTTATACATCGCAGCAGGTCTCTTTTTATTGTTTTTTCAGGCGAGGCTACAGGAGCTTGCAGGGTCAACTCCTCTTGTTCCATCCTTTGTTTTTTGGCAGCTGGCTTCTTGATAAACATGTCCAAGGTGGTCTGTTTTTCTCTCTTCTTCAACACCTGTCGGATATGACTGGCAAGTGTGTCATTGTAGAGATCGTTGATCCTGTTGGCCTCAGCTGTGTTTGGATGGTGAGTGTTCATAAACTCCTGAACCTCTCCCCACTTGACAAGGAAGTCCATGTCAACTTCCACTCCTTCTGATGATTTCTTGCTTTATTAAAATTGAAATCACCTTTGTTTTTTAGAAGCCATGATTTGCACATGTGATACACTGAGGTGATGTATGGAATACACAAGGAAGCAAGCTGAATCCCAACGGGAGCTCTGTACTTCAGATATACTAATAATGTATTCTAATAATACTAATATATTTTTAAAATAGCAGATTGTCATTGGTAACGGCAAAAGAGTGGAAACATCATTCGCACTTGTTTGCAGAAAGTCCGTTGTTCACCTCACATAACAGCCAAACAGAAAGTCCATTGTTTGCAGCCAGTCCGTTGCTCGAGTCACGTAACGGCCAAAGAGAAAGTCCGTTGTTCGCAGTGTCCATTATTCGAGGTGTACGTTACACAAGGCACCACTTTATTAATACAATTGGGATTAACTTGATGATTGATATTTTTACTTTATTTTTTCCAAGTGATTGATAAGCCATATCTCTTGGCAGCACCATAACGAGCCTTTTATGCACCCGGTGCATGCTTCTGTAACTACACCCCAAAACTTGATCCACGTGATTTCTGCACACTGTGCCTGGGCATCGTTGGCACTGCCCTAGTTACGGCACTGTCTCTTGGTATTGAAGGGTACATATTTTGCGTATCTAAGCTGGCTATCTTAGAAAAAGAAGATATTTTAATATTAATTAATTGGTTTGAATTCTTTAAGTTGTATTTAGAATTTTCTATTACATTCCATTTTGTCTTTGTAAAATTCTCTGTTGTACAATATATAATTTCTTGCATCAACAGTTGGTCTAAATTTATCCTATGATTTGTGTTTTTTTATCTTAATTTTAACTGTGATTTTGTTTCCTTTTTTTTGTGTCTTTTATATATATATAATTTCCTTCTGTTTCAATAAGAAGTTTATTGTTGTAGTGTTTTACAAAGATTTTAGAACATTGATTAGAAGAAAATTCTTTGCGCCTGTAACTTTTGTGTATCCTTAATGTTTCAATTTTGTTTTTGTATTGTCCATCTTGTTTATAAATAAGACTCATTATACTAGTGTAGTTTTGAATTAGCAAAGGGAGGAAGTCTTGGCCAAAAAAAAATAAAACAAAAGTATCTTTATTTTCACCTGTACATTCTTTTTGTGTATTTCGGATCTGTAGGTCCGTCCTTGGCAGTTTTACAACATTCTATAACAATTATGTAAAATTTAAAAAAAAAAATAAAAAAGTATATTACACCCGACAATATCTAAAAACCACTTAACATTTTTTCTACTGTCCAATATTAATACACAATAATAATAATAATAATTTCTTATCCTTGCAGAAGAAAGGTAGAGCCTGAATGGCATGTCATCAGTGTGCTTGACTTAAAGCTAAATAATTAGGTGGGAGTTGATTAGGCTGCCATATCTTGTTAAATCACATAATTATAAATAAATCAATCTAATTTTAGAATATTCCAGAAGAAAAGTTAGTTCTGAAGCAGGACTCGACCCTATAACTGCTATTTACCATGCGGATGTGTTGTGTCTTTTCATACTAAATTGATCATGCTCTATGAATTTATAATGGACTTTTTTCCTGTATTCTGCACCATTTTCAAGATGGAAGCACTAACTTTCAATTGTTATCACAAGGGTGCCGCAAGCCATCTGGTTGTATAGAACATAATCACTTTATTGTAACTATACGTCATTTGTAACTTTAGCTATCTGCATTCGTCAGTTACTTGGATGTATAAGGACTTTCTGCATGATGTAGAAAGTGCATAGTAATGTGTTTTGGTAGACTTTATGACATTGCCATTTAACTTTTTCATATGTGATGTCAAACTGCAAGTCTTATCATAAAGTTGTGAGTGAAGTACATTGTGCAGGAAGTTGTCAAAAAGAACAACAGATGCTTTGGAAACATTTATCGGATATGGCATTATTAGTACAAAAAAATTAAGAAGAAAATGGCATTTATTAGTACGAGAATGATTTACAAGAGCTATTTTGCATATTAAATTTATGTAGTAGACTCTTGATGACTTGAAATGGAAATGAGATGATGTCAAACGGTTACAAGAAAGAGAAAGATGTAGAATTACTTCTCACTATTTCTAGATATTCACTTTTTTTCAGGAAATTCTGCATCTTTCCTTAAAGAAATTTATCTAATTTTGTTACTATATGTATAATTAACTTAGTTAGAATTGCTTAGTTGATAAATGTGCCAAAAAGTGCAGAAATTACAAATTCTGTTTGTCTGTACTGATGCCAATTGGCAAAATTGATTGATTAATTTTGCAAATGGCTATATGCTTTAGTATAATACATGTAGTGAGGATTAGCAATAGAATATAATATCACAGCATTACGTATGAAAATAACGATTCAATTACATAAGATATTAAAAGCCTAAAAAGAGAACTTGTAATCTGGCATTGGCACTTCTTTTTTTATAATTCCAGATTAACTTAAAATTCCAATATTTGTGAAAGGTACTTTGTCTGTCAAATTATTAGATTTTAATTGTTTAATTAAGCTCAAATTAATGTAATTGTATAGTTAAATTATTGCCTATCTAATTGGATAAATTTAACTTTGTACAGATCCCATTTAAGTGGAAAGATGCGTTCGATAAGGGAACATTCTTTGGTGGATCAACCAGCCTAAGTGAGTATCTATACGCACATAAATATTTAATTTTAATAATGATTTATTGTGTAGTTTGCATGCTATGATTAGATAAAATGAAGAAAATATACAAAAAGATTTTAAAAACAATGATAAACATAAGAGGCCAAAATGCTTTTATTTATTAAGACTACTATGGCACTGTCATTTTAAACAGAACAAACAAATTTAACTGAAGTAAAACAATATGTCTGCTATTAAATATTAGAATTTACAATACATTTTTCCTGATTTTTGTGATAGTAAATAGTTCGAATTTGTTCTTAGTTGTAATTATTTCCTCTTCTATTTTCTAGCTTTGTCCTCTTTAACGTATGAAAGAATTTGTATTCTCTTTAACATTGCCGCCATGCAGAGTCAGTTGGCAACTAGCCTCTGCACTGACTCTAAGAATGACACTGCTCTGAAATCTGCCGCCAAGTATTATCAGGTAATTACGCAAAATATATTTTGATTTGTATTTCAAACTTTTTAGACAGAAAATAAACTTGTTTGAATTGCAGCTTGCCGGCGGAATATTTAATTACTTGAAAAACAACGTGTCCGCCTGCATTCAACAAGAACCGACGCCAGATCTTCAACCCGACACTTTGAGTGCTCTAGCGGCCATAATGCTTGCCCAGGCCCAAGAAAGTTTCTTCCTCAAAGCTACTGCAGGTATTTTTTCTTTCCTTCATTTCTCCACATTATAAAATAAATACAGCAGAGAAAATATGCAAATGTATGGGAAAATTTGTTATAGATAAAATGAAAGATGCCGTAATTGCCAAAGTTGCTTCTCAGTGTGAAGAGTTATATGCTGATGCTTTGAGACAAATGCAGAAAGATACATTAAAAGTAACATGGGAAAAGGTATATATATAAATGTTTTCTTTTGCATTAAGATACTACTATGATTAATTTAATTACAACAAGAAAAATGTTACTTAACACAATATTAAAGTACAGTACATGTGTGTATGATTTTGTGTGCACTATAATCAAGTTTAGAGAGATAAAAGGACAATATACTAACCACGTCACTAGATGTGTAATAAGAATTTAAGGTAAACATCTATATTGTTTTATGTAAAGAATTTCTCAAATTTTAGAAATGTTTTAAGTCTTTAAACTATCATTTAAAATAAATTCTTTGTAATTTAAATGATATAAATTATTTATTTCTGTGAGATCTCTTCATGTCTTTTAAAAACATTTAAAGGACTACATTAGAGAGACACCAACTCAAGTAGGCATATGCATATGTAATCTTATACATTCTTTACACAGTTGTTTAATAATATATTAATCAAAGCTAGCTTTTGTATTAAGGGCAGTCAAATGAAAATGATACAGACTATATAACAAGTGTGGCACTGAAGTTGGTAATGCAGGTAGGTGTGTATGTAGAAGTGCCCTCTATTGGGAATCAGGAAGGAACAGCTTGAATGTTCGCCGCCGTGCCGTTTGTTATTAGACATGCTTCAAATGAGGTTGGCGAGTCGTGTGCTTCCAACATCACTATGGAGGTCCGCTGCTTGTTGACTTTCTGGAACATGGCGCCACAATTAACGAATAGCGCTACATAGAAACTTTGCAAACATTGAAGCGTGCCATCAAATCCAAACACCCACATGTTACCAAGGTTGTTTTGACTACGCTGCAGAAGTTCCCAGTGAAACTTCTGCAGCGTAGTCCATAGACATCCTCCATACCGTCCCGATTTCTCCCCATGAGATTTCCATATTTTTGGAGCCCCGAAGAAAGACATTTGTGGCCATCAATTTGCTTCGGACAAAAAGGTGAACGCCTGGGTACAATCGTGGTTCCATAGGCAACCGCAAACATTTTTCTATGAAGGCATTGATCGTCTTGTCTCTCAGTGGGATAAATGTATTAACAGTTATGGCAATTACTTTTGAAATAATAAACAGTTTACTTACTTTTTTCTCATCTGTCTCGTTTTCATTTGACTGACCCTAATACATGTTTAATCTGTAAGTGAACAACATTCTGTTATAAATCTAATTGCTATCTGTTCTAGGATTATATACCAATAATAGCTGGAAAACAAGCTGCCTTTCATGCAATTGCTGAATATCATCAAGCTTTGGTGTGCAAACAAAAATCTAATATTGGAGAAGAAATTGCTAGACTAAGTGTAAATATTTTTCATATAGATATATAACTATTCTTAGCTAGTGTTTTATTAAATTTTTGATGTTTAAAATAGCATGCTCAAGATCTAATGAAAGCAGCAGAGAATCGAGCAGGAATTAATTTCAATTACAAGGATTACGTAGGTCAGATTAATCGGCTATATGAAGAAACAAAGAAGGACAACGATTTCATTTACCATGAACGTGTACCCGACGTAAAGAGTTTGGCACCGATAGGGAAGGCTTCTTTGGCCAAACCGTTACCTCTATCTGAACATCTGAGCTCAAATTATCAGGGTAAATTAATTTATACAGAAAGGAAGCAAAAATTTGTGAATCAAATCTGATGTGGTTTTCTTCTTTGTTTCTAGATTTGTTTTCTAATCTGTTACCGGTAAGCGTCCAACAGGCTCTTCAGACATTTGACGTTCGTAAAACTGAAATTGTTAATAATGAAATTGGAAGTCTTCGAGAGCAAACACAAATGTTGAATGGGTAAATATTAAGTTTATATTTCAGTTAGATGATTTATATTTTTATATTATTCTAAGTTTGTTTTCTAATATATGAATATTCTAACAGAACATCCTGAAAACATTAATAATTTTATGACTCAAAGCTTATAAAATTTCATTTAAACTATTTTATTTTAAATTCATTTAATCTAATGTAAGCATTGAGCAACATGACAGAATGTTTGTTATTGATACGCAATGTACGTCGTCGTCTGATTGCCATGACTATTGTTCATTGGTTTTTTTTTTTATTACTGCAAATATGACTCATCTATATTATAAATTATTTTTAAAGATTACAAAGAATTTTATGCTTTAGCTAACTATGTGAAAATAAAATTATTTTGAGAATGTATATCAATAGTTAGAGAAATTACTCTATTGTATAAAATGGTGGCTGAACTTAGGCAATATATAATTCCTGTCATGACAATCAGAAATGAGTCACATCCTCTATATTATACTGTATACAGTTAAAATACTACAATTATCGCTGTTGTTTAGTAAATATTACTGGTGTTTTGACTGATTAGTTAAATAATCATTTAACTCCTTCAACTTATGAATGTATCTTAATCTCAAACAGGAAACTGAAAGCTAAATTGCCTGTTATGCTTAAAATCCCTGTCTATAATAATAATCATAATCCCTGTGTACATTTTAAACAAATTTAGAAATTATTACATATAAAAGCTTATAAAAAGAACTTGTCTAAATATACGGGAACCACAATAAGAATCTAGAAGTCATTTTGTTTGCAAGCCACAGTTTGCCATCATGGGTGTAAAAGAATAATTATGATATGTCAATGAAACAAGCCACAGTGATGAATTATTGTCGGCAAGAAATGACTGATATTACTTTTAAATGGTATAAAATTTTTCTTAAGTATTTAGTAAATTTTGGGACTTTCAAAATTCAAGTGGATCATCAAATGGCTTAGGCAGTAATGATATAATCTGTCATTCTTGTTTTAGACTTAGATATGGCAGCTCCATTCCTAACATCTCTCTACTCAATTGCAGGTCCGACAAGAGTCGTGATGCACGTGAAAAAAGCCCCTTGCATATATAGTGACACTGACTTTTTATTAAATTTATAATTTTCTTTTTATCGTTACAATATTTAACTGTATGAAAACTTTGTTTTATATAATATAATTTCAGTATTCTCGCTTCGTTAAATTTACCGGCTGCCATCGAAGACATTTCCGGGGATTCGCTACCTCAGTCTATTAAAGACAAAGCTAGTACCGTTAGGATGAAGGGAGGTATCGAGTTCATACAAAGGTTAATTAATGAACTACCTGCTTTACTGGAAAGAAATAAGCAAATTTTAGATGAGGTTAGTATATAAATGTGCATTGAGCTTACTTTATTATAGAGATTTAATACTTAAAAATTAAAGAAGCTATATTAACTTTGTCTTGAGCCTTTCAGAAAAAGTGATATTCTCTTCTTCCTTTCTCCTCTCTTTTTTTTTTTGTAATCTTATCTTAGAATAGTTTTCTATCATGAAAGAAATGACTTATTGTTACTTCTGATCTTTTTTTTCTTTTTATTTGCACATTCAAAGTATTTTCAGATCTTGTCCTAATTCTGAAAGTAATTCTCTAATGTTTCTTTCCTGGTGTTATTGAATAATATAATGTGTATTTACAACAGTAATTATTAAATATAAGCTTTATTAGACTGATATTTTATACAAGTTTCAAAATCTAGTATTTATCAAACAAATAACCAGATTCCTTTGTCAAGCTATTGAGGCTAAATGATTACTAAGCATTTCTGCAGGAGGCAAACCACCATCTTGTGATAAATTTAAGTTTTAATATAAATTAGAATATTTTGGAAGAGAAGACTGGTCCAGAGCAGGACTCAAACTTGCGACTCCTGCTCTGTGCAGCCATGTTGCTACTACCTGGATCTCCATCCAATCTTTGCTTCTGGACTACCTTGTTTTCTTACCTAGTTTACTGACTTGCACACTGGTCTGCAGACTTACTCTGATACACACTACGCTAAAGGCATGTTTGACAGTGCTCCACATCTTCCACTTTTCCCGCAATGTTTGATAATGCTGGTAGATGTGTTTGCGGAAGAGTGGTTTCACTTTTTACCATTTTTAGAACAAGCTGAAAAATACGATTAGACATCAAATTAATCAAAGATTGCAGTTGTTCTTGAGGAATATTTTTCTGTGCCTCAATGAAAGCAGCCTTTAGTTCAATAACAGTCTTGTATTGCTTTCCACTGCTATACATTTGGAAAACCGAGTCATCCCTAAGATTTTCAATTGGGTTTAAATCCGCACTGAGGGGTGGCCAGTCCAAAAGTCAGACGGTTTTGCTCTGAAAAAGAAAATAACATTGATTTTGATACTGGAAGGTTGCATTATCCTGCAGGAATTCAAAGATCTGTCCATCAGGAGCTACCTTCAGACAAGCTCCTGATAAGTTTGAGAGTTGTTTCAACCTTCAATAAATAGATCTGTCTTTCCATGCCATTTAATCCCCACCCAAGTTATAAGTCCACCATTACCAGTTATATAACTCTTTGAGTACTGCTTTTCATCTAGTCTTTTGTCTGCCAATAATACTTAAAACTATCAGGTTCATTGAGATTCCAATTTTTCTCATCAGAAAAAATTACTTTTACCATCCTTCCCCTCTTTCAGAGTTGTTTCTGGAAAACTGTAATCGGAGTTGTTTGTGTTTCTTCTTGAGCTAGTTGCTTGTCTTAATTTTCATGAAACATTGTCTGTTGATCTTAAAACATTGTGTATAACATTGTGTAAAACATTGTGTTGATTTACTGCAGCTCAGCTTCAATTCATTTTTGATTTTTTGATGTGTTTCCTTGTAGTGCACGTCAAACAATTGCACATTGTTCTTTGTGTTGTTGAACTCTTGCATCCACTGTTTTGTTTTCTTGTTCATTGCTCCTTATTATTGAGCTACTTTGAGATTGTTGAATGAAGTCTTCTCAAATTTTTAGTAATCCAAGTTACTTTACTCCCTGGTAAAATACATCAATTTTGATCTTTTCCTCTACAGTTAGGTCCTTCCCTTGTCATATTTTTAATAGTAAAGTATTATGCAATTTACTAAACTTTTCACTTGTTGATCATATTTTTTGAAAACTTCATGGATTTCAATCATTACTTTTTTGTAATTAATTACAATCAGTATAAGTTCTATCAATGATGGACATTTTATATTTGATAATAATATCTAACTTTTTTCTTTACTCATTATTTTTCTCCAAACTTATGCAATAATTATTGATATTTTGTTATCAAATTTACATGAAAATAGTGTTTCTAGACAATCACTGTATGTTCTGTTATTGTTAGAAAAACTGTACTAATGCTCTCCACAAACAATATAAATCCAGTTAAAATACTGATCCATAGGATGAGTGTCATGCCAAAATACTGTATTATGAAAAGAGAAGACACTGAGGTCGGCATTACATGTGCATTTTTTTTATCACAAGTACTTTCGACAAACATATAGTCGTCGTCATCAGGCGAATACGAAGATTTATCGAAAAAATTTTTTAAACTGAAATAATCCGATGTAGAATAGAACGCTTAAATTTAAGTTGAAACTTTTGTCAAAGCCGTTAAGAACACAATAGAAATGTTCAAAAATGTTCGAAAAGCGAATGAGCAGAAAACTCCATGATGTGCAAATAAGCGCATGCGCAGATCTAGACACACACTATACGCATTCTGGAGAATGCTAATATAATATTTGCTTAATTGTTTGTATAGTGTGACCCATACACTGGGCAGCTTGAGAGTTGGGAGTGTTGCATGTGTCCAAGGTGGTAGTAAGGAGGGATTCCCATATGAAAACAATTTTTCGATCCTTACAGCTCTTGAGCATAACTGCTTGGGACCATAGTGGGTTGTAACCCTGCTGAAGTACTTTTCTTGCAAGCTCGGTGGTGTGTCTACCCCTCACAACATCGTTTCGGTGCTCTTCAAGTCGGCTGGCAAGCATTCTAGTAGTGGCCCCGATATATCTTGCGTTTACTCCCATTGCAAGATTTTCCAGAGGTACAGCATAGACCCCCTGAGTTCTCAAGAGTGGAAAATTTGTCCCTATCATTACAAATAAGTTTGCGTAGGTTTGGAAATGGGGTTAGTGTCGAAAGTACTTTCGATAAAAAACGCACATGTAACGCCAACCTCAGTGTCTTCTCTTTTCATAATACAGTTAAAATACAAACAAACAATAAATATTACTTATTATTTTTACACTATATTCCTGATTTTACAATACAGTCGACTCTCGCATAACGCGAGTTCATATAATGCAGATTTGTATATTGTAGCAAAAAAATTGCGACTGTATTCGTATAAAGACGCTAAAAGAGACTCGTAAAATGCGGTAAAACGTCATCGCCGACTCATGTTGCGACAGGATTGGTCGAATCTAGACCAATAGTGGACGAGCAGCCGAACTACTTACACGGTACAGAGAGTTTAGCCGTGTAAGTTGAGTTTACTATCATCTGTACAGTATATAAATTAGGTACTGTAAGTGTAATACAGTACTGTAATTTTATATATTTCTTGTGAAAAAACATTTCGTATTCAACGGCCATAAAAATTATTTCTATTAATTAATTAACAATGTCTCCAAAATTTCAACAAATTTTTCGCAGAAAAATAACTTATCATAAAACGCATTTGCCATTTGGTGCACTGCTCCACGACAAAAACAAGCTTAAGCAATGGCATCATCGAACAGTGCACACTCAGTAAGTAATCCTACAATTTTTTGTTTTTAGCATAGTTTATACGGATTATTCCCAAAAAATTATGTGTGTTTTGGAAATGTTGAGTCAAATTAGTCTAGAATCGATTAATTTTATGGAAGAAAACCTTTCAAACAGCTGTAGTCTGTAAACTGCACATGTGCCGGTCTGTAATTGGCTCATATATTTTAAGGATTCCTACAACATGAAATTCTTATAAATGGAACATAGCTACTGCGTTGTAGGAGGGTTGACTGTAATTTAATTCTTAATTATATCATAAATATTCTAATCTAAAATATTTACTCATAACTTTCATAATTATCTTTCTTATACTATATTAATGTATTATTAGGCCGAGAGAATGTTAAATGAAGAACAGCAGTCAGACGAGCAGCTTTTGTCGCAGTTTAAAGAGAAGTGGACTCGGACGAGATCTAGTAAATTAAACGAGCCCCTGCGTGCCAGCTGTAACAAATACAGGAGCATTCTCGACAGGGCAGTTTCGGCAGATCACGTCGTCCAGGAAAAATTTGGCAAACACAAAAGCAATATTGAACTTCTCTGCAGAACTGATGTAATTGATTTTTACATATTAAATGAAAGGAAACATATATAAAAGTTATAGAAATGATTACATTCTATTGTTAATTTTACAGGAAGAAATTCAAGCTGCCATTCCTTCGAGTAGTCCTGTTCATTCATCTAACAGTTCTGCGGTGGATCGTCTGAAGCAGTTAATGGATCAAGTGGATGCACTTCGTTCCGAAAGAGAAGTATTAGAATCCGAATTAAAAAGTGCAACTACTGATATGAGTAATTTTTTTTTTTTAATCTCTAAATTAATACAATCTATTATATGAAAGAGTAATGTGAATAAATTGTATTTGAAACAATTAGAATCCAAATTTATGAGTGCTCTCAGCGAAGATGGTGCTATCAATGAACATAATTTGTCTGTCGAAACTCTCGGAGAAGTGTTTGGTCTTCTTCAGAAACAGGTTCGAGACAGCATTGCCAAGCAGGAAACACTTACTGCACAGATACAGGCAAGTTTATTGGCTTACAATTTACATTACAAAGTTATCTGTTATATTTATTTCAATTTTGGGTTGTAGTTAGAGAGAGCTTGGCATCATTTTAGAAGTTTTTTCATTGAAAATATTAAGGTACAAAATTGGAAAGAATGCTATGATTTTAGTATAGCATGCATCTCGACAGTTTCCACTATTCGTTCTATCTCCCTCTCCTTGTCTTGCTTTTTGTTGCAATTCTTATGGACTCTCTTAGCAAGTCCTCTAATGGATACTATTCTACAGTTGTATGGGTCGTTAGAGTTGGCTTGGATGTATATTGGAATAAAGCTCGGTTTGTTGTATATTTTAGTATCATACCCACTATCATTAAGGGTGTTGCTGGTATCTAGATAATTAGCTTCCTTGTTGTTCATTTGTTTTAATTCGGTCATGAGACCATGTGGATTGTTGTTTATGCAGTCAATAAATCCATCAATGTCTTGTTTAGTTTTCCAGGTGATGCATGTATCATCAATGTATCTTATAGATTTCATTATAGGAAAGGAATTTGGGGATGATTTTGGCCTCCAAGAGACTTTGCTACAATTTCAACCAGGTCCCCTGACAATTGGCTACCTGTAAGTATTCCTCGTTTTTTGAAGGAACCATTGAAGGAATCTTTCCATTTAATTGAAAGCAGGTGTAACAAAGTAGCATAAGGGTTTTCACAAGTAAATGCAAAGCACAATAAGGTTTGTCAGTTTTATTTATATAAATGCTTTGTTGATTGGAAGATTACTTAAATAAATCTGCATTCAAAAGAGAATTAGACTAAATTTTTGAAAACAATATTAGAATAGGCAATAGTTTAATTATTTTTGTCATTTATAACCGTACTGGACATATTTTGAATTTTTGTTGTAGTGGAAAATGTTAAGTACAGAAATTTTCTGCTCTGCACACTGCCATCTTTTTTATAATATAGGCTTACTTGGATGCATTAAGTTGGGTTTAAGTCCTTACGTGTAGCATCTAGATCTTCTTGCATGCTGGACAAGAGTTTTAAGAAAAGATGCTGTAGATAAATGCTTAAAACATTTTAAAGATGTGTACGTGTGCAATCATTCTTGCAAATAAAACTAATCATTTAACTAACAAAATTGTGCGTGCACTTGTCAAATCTTGAAAGGACCTCCTTATGGTTTTTCTTTAGGCTTGAAACAATGTTCTCTGGTGGCAGTTCAAATGCGCACCTACCAGTAGGCTGACTACTTCCTCTCATATTTTATAAACAGGGCATTGGTAAGATGTGAATTATGTCATTTCATATGATTAGTGCTTTGTGAGTTATATTGGTGGACACAAGCACTAAAATTTTTTTGCCAAAACTGATTTTAACTGCCTCAGCATTGGTGTGTCTGCAACCTAACAACAACACTGTAGATAGGATAGATAACTATGTATCTAGCTGTATTTATAGTACTGATCATGTGAAATAACATAATTCTCACTTTGATGCTTGAAAATGAGAGAGAGTTCTTATTAATACACAGCCTACCAGTAGGTAGGCATTTGAACTGCTATCAGAAAACATTGTTTCAAACCTGTGACAAAAACATAAGCGGTCTTTTCAAGATTTCATTAACAATCATGCGAGCATTTGACAAACAAATAATTTTATTTGTAGAAATGATTTGACTAGATGTAATTGAGACTTCTGCTATTTCTTGACTTCCTCTATTTTACATTTATAACTCAACTTAGTCAATCTGTACATTTCAGAAATTCAAACAACTCTATACAATAATTATTCCAGTTAGTAAGTGTGGGCTGTAATTGCAGCATATCAGTGTAAACTTTATTTACACATTTAGAAAAGACTACTTTCAATTTGTAAGAAGCAGTAGACATGACCTTTTTTTTTTATTATTTGTTGTCTTGATCAATTGAATTTTATTGCTCTTACTTATGGATTTGAGATTATCTTCTTGATGAGTGTATAGTATTGCTATTCCCCCACAGGATAGTGGAAACTGGTGAACCCATTGAAAATTCAATTGATATAGCTTTCCGGTTTCTGCTATTTTATCAGTGTGTCGTGAGGCATGTTTTTTTACTCTCCTTTGATTGTCTTCCTTTTTTAACTTTCCACAAAGGCATCAATATGTCTTAGGTATGTTGATGCCTTCATGCAGTTGCCCTCCACAGCAAAAAATAAAAATAACTATATTTTTTTACATAGTTACACAACAAAAGTTTTGTACTTGTTTTCTTGTAGGAAGCAAACACCGAATTTTGTAATTCTCGAAGTGGCGATAGAGGCACTTCTCAACGTGATGCCAAACTTAGCGAGCTGGCCTCTGCCTATGATGCTTTCATGGAATTGACTAGCAACCTGGAAGAAGGAACAAAGGTTTTATTTTAAAAGGAACTACTAATTATGTTTTTATTTAGTCTTAACTCTCTCTAAAGAAATTTATTATTATTTTCAGTTTTATGAAGATCTCACTTACATATTAATTAAATTCCAAAACCAAATAAATGATTTCACATTTGCCCGCAATACAGAAAAAGAGGACCTGTGTCGTGAACTTCAGAGAAACATTGCCAATCAGGCTGCGCACCCGACGCCCTCGCTGCCGGAATATCATAAGAGTACGGAAGATCAGAGTAAGTTTCCTTCTTATCAAGGTTTTGCTGGTTTAAATTATATATAATTTATGCAAAATAAATTTTACATCTGGAATTAAAGCATAACTTTCAGTTTAACTTTATTTAACCTTTGTAGAAAGGGTTAGTCAGATATGGTGCTATCATGATGTAGTGGAGAATAAACGTGGGAAATTTTTTAAGAATTTTCCCACGCGTTTGTCTTGCTTCCATTTCAGTAAAAAAAATTTTTAAACAGTTACGTTTTAGTAAAGAAAAAAATCTTCTTCATCACACAATTCCTTTTTATGTAAATTTTTTTCATGGTAATTTTTGGCTAAAATTTTTTTGCGAATATAAACTACGTCTCCAGTGCCACATGATCACCCTTGATGGGTATATCTGTCGATTACTGCAGAGTGGTTAGTGGATATTGATACTTCCAGAGGTTCTCAAAGTCAATCTGTGACTCGTTCAAACCAAGTCATAAACAAACTAAATGGTACCAATGTCAGCATTCCATTTTTTTTCCTGTAAAAATTATCTTAGGTGCATTTTAGTTTCACAAAAATAATCTTTTCTCTTGTTAAATAGCATTGAATTGCATTTTATTAAGATGACCAAGTCTATCTGTACATCATTTGGCACTTGCAGACCACTAGTGGTCCACAGGCCAGTTTGCTAAACGCTAAGTTAGTTAAATCTTTAGAATTCCCCAGATCGTGCTTTTCTTTCTTTCTTTCTTTCTTTAGATTTGAAAATGTTTGTCAGAAGATAATTGCTGTGAAAATATTTATATATCAAGCTGGATTCACGAGCATTCATAAGACATGGCATGATATCTCAGATATTTAAAGTTACCTGAAACTAACAATATATTTTATTTCATATTCAGAAAACACATTATAACATTTTGACAACAGAAAAAAAAAAACATGTAATAAGAGTGTATCTTGTGATTTTGCTAGTGTCTGCTTTCACTTTAATAGAGCCAATTGGAAAGCATTTATTAGTGACAGTTTTTAGGATTATAAGTACTTATTTGTATTTAAAAAAAAAGGAATTTAACCGTTTTTAACGACCTGATGAAGACGAAAATAATTATCGTCGAAAGCACTTGTTGGTCTAGCGACATTTATTTGTAATTTAACGCCTATATGATAAAAGTTTCTCCTATTACCTTTTTTTTAATACAGTCGACCCCCCTATAACGTACGTTCCTATAACGACAATTCCTATAACGTAGCGAAAAAATTGTAGAAACTTTCGTATAATGTACCTCCTATAACGTCGTTTCGCGAGAAGATTGATAGAGTCTGGACCAATAGTGGATGAGCAGCCGAACTACTTACCTCCGACCCTGCGCCACGCTACGGAGCGGCTAAATTGAGTTTGCTATCGTCTGTTTAGTATTATATATAAATTAGGTACTGTACATATAATTATATATTAATTATATATAAATTAGGTACTGTATATATAATTATATATTAACTTAATTTATTGTAACTTTATTATAATTATATATATGCTTTCTGCCGCCTGGCAACACGCTACGGAGATTTTAGGCTAGTAAGTTGAGTTTATTATCGTCTGCACAGTATGTAAATTAGGTACCGTAAGTCTAATACAGCACTAATTTTATACATTTCTTGTGAAAGAAACACTTC